TTTAAGGGCTGTAATTGCTCTAAGCACTATAAGTGCTTTGGGAGCAAAGATGAGGGACTTAGTGGGTAAAGTAGGCGAAGAGGTGAGAATATCTAAAATATTTAAATAATAAAAGACTTCTTGCTTTTAATAAAAATTAGCTGAGTTTTAGCTAGATATGAAAGACTATCTATTTTCTCTCTCCCTCCCTAAAGAATTAAAACATTGTGCTAACATATAAAAAAGGCATTCAATTGGCAATCGTATGTAATTATTCAAGTTATGAGAATGCTTTTGCCAACACAAAATCTAAAATTACTGAAATAACTCCATTCTTACATACTTGAATTTAAAATAAATAAAATAACATTCTCTATAGCCAAGTTAGTGAACCTAAAATATTACCTATAATGATGAAAGCAAACATATGACTATCTAAAATGTTGTATTGCCTCTCTTTTGGGAAATAATGCCTGGATTATTAATGCCTGGATTAGGTCCAAGCAGACCATCCAGTTATGCCATCAAGTTTGTCAGCAGAGCAATAGAGACTTGGACACTTCCATCCGAGAGGGAAAGATTAACATTTGTGTTCATGCTTTATTTCCAATTCTTTGCTTTTCAAACCTTTTAAAGTCAACTCTTTACATTTTAAAGTTTAAAGTTTTCATGTTTCTTTTCAGTATCAAGGCCAATGAAATGTTAAGATAACAGTGATTTAGCTGGCCCCAAAGTCCTAAAGGTCTACCTGTACATGGCTTCCTTTCCAGTAACTCACTGGAGGCAGAGATTAAATCCAACTTTTCCACTCCCAAAGAAAACTGTAATTAGGGAGATTCCATACACGAATAATTTCGCTTCCAAAAAGGGCACCACGTAGCACAAAGTGATTGCTACGAAAGAATGACGCTTTTAATGTCGAAGTTTGAAACACAGCATAACATTTTCTAAGGCAATGACATGCATAAAAGCCAAATTATTGCTGCTTAGTGTATGAATGATGTGGATATCCTCTTTTTAAGGACTTACGAGAGTTGCCTTAAGTAGTTAAAAACTGTACCCAAAGCCTGCATCACCAGATGCAAAACCCTAAGCTCCCTGCCACAGAGGTCAGTCAGTCACTCCCTCCCAACATCGCCCCCGCCCCCAGCCCTCCCAGCCCTTTAAATATGGGCATTGTTAGACTTGTCTTACCGCAGACAGGTGCTATTACGCTCCCACCTGGGTATCAGTACACGACCCGAGAGACAGATGGAAGGTGCCACGTAGGAAACGACCCCTAGAGCCCACCCAGCCCTGCCCAGGACGCGGCTCACGCATCCCTAAGATGCGGCTCCTGCCCGGGCTGCGGGGCGGCTGGCCGGCCCGCCCCGAGCCCAAGCCGGACGCCGGCGGGGCCCC